GGATCGCGAAGAGTTCTGGCAACTTTTTCCCAACGAATTGTTCGTTAAGTTTCTGACATTATTCTAACAGTGTAGCAGCCCAAGGCCAGGTTGGTGGCGGCGACGGACAGTGGCAGTCCTTGGTGGCCGCGGTCAGCGTGAAGTGGCCGCAGGATTTGTGCTAGCGAGAAAAAGGCTAGCGGCGGAGTTCTCGTGGAAGTGCGATAGGGAAAGACAGAGAGAGGCCTGTGGGTCCCCCTCCTGCCCGCCTCGCCTCCTCCCTCGGTGGCGCCGCTCCAAGCGCAGATTTCTCTACTTTACCGGTCGTTTCTTCTGCCAGTGTAGGGCACGGCAGACCCAGCCAAAAGGCAGCCAGCGCCGGCGGTCCGTCCCGCTAAAGGGAGCGTCCCTAAGGGACGTACACTGAAGAGCGGGGAAAATAATAAATGTGCACGAGAAAAAGCGTGGACCTTTCTTTCTGACGCCGCCACAAACGACCCCAAACGCTAACGAGATTTACAGCAGACCGAGCAAATGTTTGTCTGAAACATTCTTCCCCCCAGGGCGCAACGTACACATGCGATAACACTCGTACACTGCCGAGCGACACAAACATCTGACAAGATCCATTTTCACAACGGACAAGCGTTACGGAGGTGCCGCATTCTAGTTGTTTTTTTGTGGTTTTGCTTTCAGATGCCGGCATTTGATTCACATGAACTGTAATTTATCTGGGTTGGTCATTTTGTGATTTTTTCCCATCTTTTCTCACTACTACTCTGGTAAAACAAAGGTGTGAAATAACACCTTTTAAAGGCATTAAAGTTCTTAAGGCGTTAACGTTTTAGTTTTTTGAAATATTTTCTGCTGAAGCAGACCAAGGTTTGTAGGACTAATATTTTCGCATTCAGCTCAAAATTCCGCTTCAAACGAGCCTACATGTGATACTATGTGTCTGAAGAACGGGACACTCAGGAATCTACTAAATTTCTTTCATTTGGGATTTGAACCCTATCACATGTAGGCTTGATCGAAGCGGAAATTTGAGCTGAATACGAAAATATAAGTTCTACAAACCTTGGTTTGCTTCATCAGAAAATATTCGGGAAAAACTAAAACGCCTTTTGACTTAAAAGCCCCTGGAAAGGTGTTAATTCACACCTTTGTTTTACCAGTGTAATCTAACCGTGTCAACGGGCGGTACGCGACTATAAGCTAAACTAATAGCGAGACACCGCGAGACGACAAAGTAGAATTGGAAACAAGCGAGTTTAGAAAGGAGAACGGAGCCACAAATTAAATCAGAACGAGTTGGACGCGGTTCAAACTTCCTCCCCCTCCTCCTCCTCGCTCGCCGCGACGGGATGCTCAGGGGGTCTCGCGACGCTGGACGGACAGCCGCCACTGCTTACTGCCACGCCACGCCGCGCCGCGAGGCCCCGGGGGCACTCAACAGGCAAATGCCGCCACTGGCACGAGAAAAGCATTGCATAATTAGAGAAGCTTCCGTGCACGTCATGTGTGTGTGTATGTGTGTGTGTGCAGCCGAGTGTGTGCGGCTCTGGCAGTGAGTGTGTGTGTGTGTGTGTGCAGCTGCGAGAGTGTGACTGTGTGCGTGCGCGCGCGAGCTATATAGCGAGTTTGTATGCGTTGTTGGAGAAGGAGGCTCTCCCTCTAGGGTAATTCTAGAGACCCTCTCAGGAGCCAACAGGAGTCCTGTCTGATAAGATAAACAAATGCACATCGACACCTGAGAAAATTACTTCCACTGTGGAAATCTCTTCAGTTCGGGGTACTTTGACCAGAGCAGAGCTTTGTTTGAATCGCCGAGTTGGCAACCGACGACACACAGAAAAAAGAACCAACCTATTCGATTTGGTACTGAAGTGTTATATTTTGCTTCATTTTTAAGGAAGAATTCGCAATTTATTTTAGTTACCGAGTCTGTTGCGTCTTTTACTTTTAATTAGACACAATTAGGCGCTCATCACCATTCATTAACAAGGTTGGATACACAGCTCGGGGAAAGAAATTAATTCCCTGCCTGGGGTTCTTACTCGACAACAAACTGTAGGCCCCGACCCTGAGTTAAATGCAGTATGGAGTAACGTGAACGAACGAACTGCTACAACTGATATTAGAAACCACTTCAAATGCTGTCAACGGTCACACGGTAAAAACAGCTCCTTGATATCCAAGGCCTAAGACACCGATTCAAGGACGGGAGAACGGAAAAACACATATAGGGTGTCCTGGATTTGGTGTATTGGTCCTTGAACATCAGGGGACTTTTTTTACCGCTGTGTCTATGTCAGTATAAGACAGTTACTCCCAATTTCCTAACAGTGTAGAACAATCAACAGGGTCAACAGACAACGCTGAGAGAGAGAGAGAGAGAGAGAGAGAGAGAGAGAGAGAGAGAGAGAGAGCTTGCGAGAGAGAGGGAAATACAGAGGGAGAGAGACGGAGCACTCCTCAGGCCAGCAAATCCGTCCGTCCGTGCCAGATGGACGGACAGACCAAAGCCAAGGAGACCGGGACCAACAGAACGTTTGCTTGTACCTGCCTGCCTACCCTGCCTGGCTCGGTCGCCCTCCCGCCTCCATTTGAGACCAGTTTACGGCAGCAGGGGGACGACCCATAAACGACCACGTTCTGCAAAACTTTGGAAAGAAGGCGACAGGAAAATAACAGAAAAGCAAGAAATGTAGTAACTAAATATTTTAATTTAACTACAAAAAAATAAAAATGTATTAAAATCCAAGTTCTTCGAATTTAAACCAAAATTTTTGCTTCAGGGTTAGAGCTGTCTAAATATGAAAGCATCTGCATGAAACAGATCGACGAGAGATTGTATACCCGCAGCCCATAATACCCTATCCCCCGTTTTATATTTCCTAGTGTTGGTTATCACCGCTTAGATTGATGCTATCACACACGTCAAAAGCTGACTGATATTACAGGTAGCCCAGACCAGCGACGAGGGGGACGAGGGCCCAGGCCAGCTCAAACAAGCCGGCAACAACCCGAGAGGGAGGGACGGGGACCGGGG